TAGCCATGCCTTAAGTGTGGCTGACTTTGTGGCCAGAAAACAAAGGAAAATGATTGGAAGTCTTAAGTTCTGCTGCTCCAAGATAAATGACCACATCATTCACCATAGGACCAGAGATAGTTCATAATAATTGCAATGGGTAGTACAGTTGTTCTGGCAAGAGACAGACTTAAGCCAGTTGTGTGACCTTGGAAAAGTTACATGATCTCTCTTGAGCCTCATTTCCCTCAGTGTAAACACAGAAGGATGATACCTAATCTGGAGTTTTGTTATGAGGACGTAAGTGGAGCTCCTAACCATGACGGATACGTGGTAGACACTTAATAAATGAAAGCTAAATACACTATATCTTTGCCTGACGTTAGGAGAGGTAATATGCGGGGCATGAAAATGAATGAAATCACTAACAAAATTGAAGCACTCTGTTGGAAATGGCCATTTATTTTTAATTTTTCTTGTATATTTTGCTAGGTATTCTGATTAAAATTGTGATACTTGTAGCTTGTAGTCTCATAGTCTTGCACTTGTCCTCAATATTGAATATGCTCAGTTATATTTTTAGATAACTTAACATTGCATATTTATTTTTAGAGAGCCCAGCCACAAAGAAATGACCAGTACAAATCAACATAAAAGCAGTTCATGTTTAAAGTGCCCTGTTCTAATGTTGTATATCTGGCATTTTCATTCTTTAAGATGAGATTTCTTGGAGTGTGTTATCTATAAAACTAATTTTATAGGAAAAATTATAAAATTAGTTTTATAAGAAATTGATACTGAATGTGTCACAAAGAAAAAAAGCATTCCATGGTCAATTAAGGTTGGAAAATGGTAGGGTAAGTGAAGAGGGTTTTTTTAAAATTTCTGTTTTGTTTTTCCATATGAGTTTTCAGAACTTTCAATATTCTAATGTGAATGATGTATCTCTAAAAAGGTAATAGGAATCTTACATTTCCAAATTTCATTTGCCCACAGAAATGATATGAGATGCCATCACCTGAGTTGTTCTACTGTCATTTTGTGGAGACATTTAACATAGGAACAGTACTAGGGGTGACAGGGGAAAAGGGAAAAGCAGAGAAGGAGCACAAGAATTAATACTCTAAGACAAGGATTATAATTTCTAATGCCTATAGAAGAAAGTAATGTCAAGATCAGAGGTGGGTTGGATGCAATCCAAGAGACGGTAGGTCACTGGCAAACTGCAGACCATATGATCTGTCTACCTCAATTCAAACTTGTAAAAACATTCTATGCACCTATTTATGTCTGTAAGCCCTATGCAGCACAGGTTGCTAGAATGACGTCCCTATACTAAAGAGATTGCTTTCATTTTTATTTCAAAAAACAGCACAAACTTAAAAGGTGTGTTCAAAGATCCAAATTTTAATATGTTGAAGGGCAGGCAGAAAGGATGTGGCATATTTAGTGCAGGAGTTGGCTGTTTGTCTCTCTTGACCACAGCAACCACTAGGCCTGTTTCAAGGTTGATAATGAGATCCTGTTAATAGTTTAGCATTAAGTGTGATCCACAAGTGTGTGAGTAAGAACAACTCATGTCTTTGGACCACTTATAATTATTTTTTTGAGACACAGTCTTGCTATGTTGCCTGGGCTAAAGTGCCATGGTGTCAGGCTAGCTCACAGCAACCTCAAACTCCTGGGCTCAAGTGATCCTCCTGCCTCAGCCTCCCAAGTAGCTGGGACTATAGGCATGCACCACCGTGCCTGGCTAATTTTTTCTATATATTTTTAGTTGTCCAGCTAATTTCTTTCTATTTTTAGTAGAAACAGGGGTCTCACTCTTGCTCAGGCTGGTCTTGAACTCCTGACCTTGAGCAATCTTCCCGCCTCGGCCTCCCAGAGTGCTAGGATTACAGGCGTGAGCCACCACATCTGGCTGGACCACTTAGTTTTAACCAGACACTGTTCCATGTGCTTTACTTATAGCTCCTCATTTTATCCTCACAATAACCCTATTATGATCCCCATTTTACAGATGAGACAGAGAGTTGAATCCACTGGCCTACAGGTACATAGCTAGCAAGAAGCAAAGCTGGGATTGAAATCCAGGTTGTCTGGCTCTAAAACCTAGATTCTTAACTACTATGCTAAATTCAGTCTTGGAGATGCCCTAGTCTGCATTTCAGGGGTATACCAGTTCTGAATGCTTTTGGCTACAGCTGACAGAAAGCCCAGATAACAGTGTCTAGAACAAGCATTTTTTCCACAAAGCAAGAAGTCTGGAAGCAGGTATCTACTGGTTCAGCAGCATGAGCACCAACTTCTCCACTCGTGGGTACAAGACGGCTAGCTCGCCACTGGGCATCATATACGAAATCAGGAGAGCAAGAAGGGGAAAGGTGTGGCAAGCAGCTTCTTAGGTCTCTTTAATCAGGAAACTAAACCCTTTCCCCCAAGGCCTCATCAGACTTCAGCTTATATAATACCTCATTGCTGGAATAATATCCCATGTCCACATCTGGCTGCAAAGAAGACTGGGAAAGTGAGAATTTATTTCTCTTTCCAGCCCCACGGCTGGAGACAAGGAAGGGAAAGTCTGGTTGGGAACAGGTGCTGGCTTAGCCAGCCAACAGTACGGGCCACAAGAAGTTTGATTTGGTTAGGAAAATACCAACAGAACTTCATCACACAGCGTATCACCCATGCCATGGATCCACGGAAAGTTAAACAGCAACAACTAAAGTTTGTTGCAAAACCAAAATGGAATCATAGAAATCTTATTACCTTTTGAAAGTATCTGCTTCCATTTATTTCCAAAAATATGAAATTACCTCTAACCCTTCCTTTACCTCTAACTTATCTAGGTAGTGCATAGAAATTATTTGACTTTCACACGCTCAGATACTTTTAGTTATACTATTCTTGGTTATGTTATTTTTATAAAATGTTAACTCCTTATTTTTGATTAATATATCAAAATGACAATTTTCAATACAGTTTCAATATGGGGTTGAAATTTGTCAGTAATTAGAAACCAGGAAGCTTCAGTGCTGAAAATATATAATAGGTTGTTTGAATTTATAATCTATTTTATTTCCCAGTTTTCATGGGCTTTTCTGGGTCTTTCTACAACTTTAATTGTAATTTTTTTTTCTTTTATATTTTTATCACGGCACTCAAACTCAGAAAACCTGTTAAGGCAACTACATAATGTGATCTAAAAATCCAGTTAACATATTGCTATGGAAACCAGGAAATAGAAACAGCACTCTAATCATTCCTTTAGGCAAACATAGCTAAGTGTGTGTGTGAGTGAGTGTGTGTGTGTGTGTAAAAATTATTTACCTTTTATTGAAAGCTGTTTCTGAAACCAAAATATATAATTGATCTGTCCATAAATGGGCCCAGTGCCTTACAAACAGTAGATTAGCATATTTAATAGGAACTATACACATGGTTAAATCATGCCATGAAGTTATCAGGAAATCTTCAGCAGGGCTGCTTTGTTTGTTTAACCTTGCCCAGCTGAGGCTTCTTGGCATGGTCTGAACCAAACCTCACTGGGACTTGCCAGCTGAGTTCTAACCTGGCCTCTTTTACTATCCAGCTATGTGACCATCCTAGGAACTATTAGAGACTCAGTTTCTTCATCTGCAAAATGGTTCAGTGCAAGACTCTAATCATGTAATGGGAACTTGCCTTTGCCACAACACTGGGAAATCCCTTTTGAGGGTTGAAATAGTTCCATATAGTTTATGGTAAACTACCTGGCTCTTGGGAAATGGTAACTAGTCTTACTGTATTTTTCTATTTTTATTCTGCAGTAAATAAGACCTGAACCTGCACAGTAACTGTTATTTTGTCCCACGACTTTAAATAACCAACATATCCATACCTCATTATATATTGCCATTATTGAACAAGCCCTTGTAAGAGTTGGAGAGAACTCAAGTTCCAACAGGCAGTGCTGTTCCTTTGGTCCTATTACTTTTGAGTGTTTACTCTTGTAAGTCAGTGTCAATTTTTACTCATGAAATATAAAAAGTTATCTTAACACAATCCTAATACAATTCACTAAGGCCTCAAAGTCTTTTTTAAAAAAATAACATCATATGGTTTCAGCATTCAAGAATTAAACTTTTGTTCTGTTTTGCTTGTTCATTGCTATTCTCCTAGCTATTTAATCAGCCTGTTTCCGGCTATGAAAAAGAGTTAAAGAAATTGAAGTCTCCTCGGGGTTAAATTCCTCTGTTGTTCTTCCTTACAGAAATCTGAAATCTGAGTTATTGTAATAGGGGATAATCATTGCATAATGAAATCATTGGGACAATTCTTCCATCCACTCACTCCTACCACCGTCTCTGACAATAACCTCCTTGTTTCTGCGGTGCCCAGATCTCTCCCCAGCCGGGTGAGCGGCGGGTGGCTAACAGACGCGGGAGAGACTGGGCAGAGCCTCGAGCCCTTCCCGCGGCCAGGGCGCAGGGGTGCGCGGAGGGCGCGCGCCATGCGCTCTGAGCGCTGGGTGACACTCCTCGCCCGAGCACCAGGAGGGGGAGACTCGGTCCCGCTTATCTCCCGCCGTGCTAACTTCAGCCTGCCTGAGCTGGGGTAGGAGAGAGCGCGCGGCCAGGGCGAGAAAACTTCTCCACCTAGAAAGTTTCACCTTGTCGTGGGCGGGGCAGGGGCGGGAGGAAACGCGACCCCCGCGGGGCCGGGCGCGGCGCGCGGGCGGCAGGAAGGGCGGGGGTCGATTTCCCCCTCTGGGTGGTGCCAGCCCGCACCTCAGCTGTCCCGGGACCGGCGGGCGAGGCGGACAGACGGCGCGCGAGACCGACAGACACGTGCTGGGGCGGGCGGGCGAGCGCGCGCCTCGGTGGGGTCGCCTGGCGGTGCCTCCAGCCCGGACGCGCCCGGGCCGCCGCGGGCCGTGCGCACCGATGCCCGGCTGAGTCACTGGCCGGGCAGCGCGCGGGTGGGAAGGGGCGGAGGGAGCGCGGCGGGCGGGCGGGCGGGGCGCTCGGCTCGTCCCGGCCGCAGGTGACCCGGAGGCCCTAGCCGCCCGCAGCGCCTGGAGCGCTTTGTGAGCAGATGCGGAGCCGGGCGGAGGGCGCGAGCCAGATGCGGGGCGACAGCTGACTTGCTGCGAGGAGTCGGGGAGGCACGGAGCGCGCGGGTGGTCCCCGCGCCGCTGACTTCTCCGCGGGTTCCTGGGCACCGCAAGGTAAAACGACAGCCCCCCCCCCACTTCGGATCCCGCACCCCACCCCTCGCCCCAGCGCTTCTCCTTTCTTTGTTCCCCTAAGAGATCCGACTGCTGTTGCAGAGGGCAAGATCACAGAGGAGGACGAGAGTTTAGGGGCTTCACAAACTGAAGGGATGTCGCGAGGGGGGAGGGCGAAACTCGAATGGGGCTTGTGGTTTTAGGGGGCTGCTTCTGATGGCCACCTGTGTGACTCAGGCGGGAGAGGGGCGCCGGGGCAGTGGGTAATGCATGACTGTTGTGGCACAGCAAGTTTCAGAGCTGTGATCTGACTCAGCCCTTACAAAAAGGGATCCAGTCACCCTGTCCCGGGTGATGCAGCCGGCAAGGTTTGAGCCAAGCCGCTTCGCTTCCTTGTTCCCAGCCCTGTCTTATTTGTATTGTGTGGGGGTCCTTCCAAGAGGCAGGTGTACTCTGTGACGGTCTGAATTCTTCTTCGTTTCTGGCAAACACACAGGGTTTGCGATCCATCATTTTCGATCGTACCTTATCTCCGTGCTGGGGCTTGTGGAGCACATCTATCTTACTAGGTGAAATGGATTATAAGCAGAGGCCGGCGGTCTGGCCAGTACTAGCGCTGACCCAGTAATTAAAGCACCGATGAAAGTACTCTCGCTGACTATTGCCAATGCAGAATTTACTCCAAAGTACGGTTTCCCATTCATACCTTTTTGTTTTAAAAGAGCCATTTGTTAATTTGGCAGTCGGAGAGGCTTCCAGTGGCTCACGCATGAATAGTTGCCCAGTGTATTTTTCCTTATCTCAGTTTTATGTTCAAAGGAGCCCCTGGACAGAATGAAATATTGTCAGCTCTCTTAGGCAAAATAATCAAGATACCTTAATTGCCAAGTTAAGGAGGTCGATGAATATAAGAGGATTGTAAAAACTGACATTGGAGAGAATATAGACTACCTGGACCCTCTCTTGAATTTTAAGAGGATTGTTCACATTCTGTAGCGTTGGGAGGAGGTTTATTCTGTCGCTTTCATCAGCCAGACACATGCACATTGCCATGCAAATGGATTCAGAAAAACATTATATTCCCGTACAGCTAAACTATTATAGCTGACTAATGAATTTTTTTCTGCATGAAGATGATCCGAAAATGATATACATCATGTTTCTCTGTGCTACTGGGACATATATTGTGCATTTATGTAAACAGGGTATATGGTGCTGGGGTTATTTACAGGTGTATGTATATAGAGCTTTCCTTTCTAGCTCTGAGCTTATTGGGCTTTGTTTTGAACATGTAAACTTCCATAATGGAACAGAGTGAGGGACTTTAGTTCCAATCATTGCAAATCTGTGGTGTATTCAATGTTCATTCTTTTTGAACTGCTGAATAACAGGGAAAATTTACATCACTCATATAAGAAATTTTTGTAGCACCAAAAATATGTCTGATTACCTATAAAATATACTGGTGTTGTAAAAATTCTGTTCAGTTTTCAAACTTAACAGTGCATAAGTCTATAGTTATTAACTTAAATATATTTTGCTTCCAACATGATGGAATTTATGGCATATAGAGGATGATCTGCCGACTACTGCTTTTTCAAAGATTGCTTTGTTCTCGATACATCGCAATACGGGTTTACATTAGATGTACACTACATGTTTTCAGAATTAGTGGATAAGGTTTATCTGAATGATAAAAATGTACCATAGCCAGTCAATATGAAAACTCACAGCTAGTATTTTTACTACTTTTAAGCCTACAATAAAAGAAAAATGGCACTTTTCTAAGTAGGAGAAATACCCAAATATCCATGCTTTACAAATTCCTTTTAAGACTATATAAGCATAAGCATATGCTCTACATTCATCTTTAAAAAATGTTTAAATTTGTTTCAATGAAGGCAAGACTAAGAAACACATTTTAAAAATCAATTTCCTTAGCTGTTGGTAAAAAAAAAAAAAAATAGCTCAAAAAGCATTAGTCTAAATTTCCTTTTGCAAATCTACGTAATTGCCTCAAATAAACTTTTTCTCAATGTGGTCATCTCAAAACAAAGTGCATAACTCAAAAAAGCTAACACCCCCTAAGGACACACACTTTCACTAAGTGTCTACACCCTAGATGTGGGGACACATCCATGGCAAACACAGCCCTTTATGCATTCAGATCCCCTCCTGTCTCTCTGGGCCTGGCCTCCCCTCTCCTTTACCTTGGCTTGGTCAGAGCTGTTTCCAAGCCCTTCTGTGCCCCTATGTCTCCAATCTAGTTTCCTGGTTTCTTTTTCTCTGTCATTCTCACCAGAGCCATCTATGCTTTCTTTTCCCTGTCCCTAAGATTTTCCTTGGTCCCCTATGTTTGTCCATGGGCTACCTAATTTCCTAATTGTGCCCCCTTAAGGAGAGAAAATGTGTTCGGAAACTCCAAGTGCCAGGGGGTTAGCCTGCTTTTCCTGGCTGGTGTGTGTTGAAACTAGTGTTTTGAACATCAAGCCCTCAGGGCAGAGTTTCTTCATAGGCTTTGCTCAGTGTAAAATAGTCATCTCTAGGTAATAAATGATACATACATTGACAAATATCATTTCAGGATCACTTTGATTCTGTGTTTTTAGCAGACATTGAATTTCTACCAGGCCCACATCTGTCTCACCCCAAATAGATAAGAACTGTACATTGAGCATCATATGTGCTGGGTACAAAGAGACTATTAAAAAGAAAAAATGAAGAAATAGAATCTGTTCTTGAAGAGTTTACAATCTAGATATGCAGACAAACATCACATAGAAAATGAACTTAAGTCCATAATTATTAAGGGGACATTGCATGAGAAAAAACATTAGAAATAATCCCATTTGCTGTTAAGTAATAGAATTAAAAAAAAATCAAAAGATTGGAACTTAAAGACCTTAAAATTTTCAAAATGCTTCTGTGTATATCATCTTTCTGATACTAAAACAACCTCACAAGATCAGCAAGGCTGACATTAGTATCTTCACATTCCTGTGTTGTAGGCAAGGTAACTGCATCTGAAACTAGCCCCATGCTGTCTAAACAGCACCTCACTGCCTCTCCCCAGTCATCAATGAAGCTTAACTATTGGAAGCATTTTCCACTGAGGCATGGGTTAGGATCCTTAAGTTAGGGATAGATGATAACTATAACATTTCTAGTCCCTGGAGTTTTTCTCATCTTGTCTTTCTCTAGTTAATTTTTTTTCTTTCTCTTTTTGTAGTAAGATGTACCAAGAAAAAGATTCATTTATATGTGTGGGATATTCTGGCTTCTGTTATCAGATTAAGAGCTGTGAGTAATTTTGTAATCTATCCTTTTATCAGAAAGCCCATTCTCAGATATCTCTTCAGCTGTGTTAAACAGTTTAGTATATTCCCCTTGGGATTCGTTTCAATAAAAACATGCAGTAAAATCTGACTACTTTGCTTTTCATGGGACAAAATGAAGAAAGTGTTTTTATAAGCTGTAAAACTTAATTGAGAGAAAAATCACACGTGTGGCATTTGTGGCAGGAGGTGTGAGCACAGTGAAATAAAAAACAGTTAACTTTGTAACCACATACCCAGGTATACATATTTCTTTCTGTGCTCGTGTAAATTTGTGCAAGTTTGTTTATGCAGGTTCCTCCTGTTGAGTTTAATTTTGGTAATAAATTATGTAGCCATGGGGCCATTGGAAATTATGGAAGGATCTAAGGGCTGTATAAATTATATAATGGGCAATAGAATTTGAAAATGTATCTTTCCTAATATAGTAAAGGATAGCAATTATGACATGTAGTTAAAGAATCACCGATTCTGGTGAAAGCCAGGTTCCCATACCCCAAGAATGTGATTGAAGATTTAGTCGTTCATGCAGGATAATTTGTTGGGCGCCTACCAAATATAGTTCTAGACTCTGGCATTTCAGTCGAGAATAAAACAGACAAAAATCTCTGACGAATGTTGCTTTGTTCTGTTAAGGTAGGCAAACAATAAAGAAATATGTAACTAAAATATGTTTATGTCAGGTGGTGATAATAACTGCAAAGAAGAATAAAGTGGTGAAGGGGAATAGGGACTGTCAAGGATAAGAGGGGATGGGGGTGATTAAAGGATTCAGCAGTGAGGTCTGGGAAGGCTCACTTCAAAGGTGGCCTTTGAGCTAGAACTCGAAGGAGATGCGGTAGTGAGCCATGAGGCTATCAGAAGCACTCCTCAGGAGTACTATCTCATCTTGTTTTTTTTCTGAACTTAGGCAGTGCACAGCTTGCACAGCTGTCCATGGAGTCCCTGGGCTTTTAGGGAGATGCCTGGACACTGCCTGCCATGGTCAACTACAGTCTCAAAGATGAAGGTGCAGGAGTGGCCCATATCCCTTGTTTTATGAGAAATGGAAAAAGATGACCCATAGCATTTGCCCGGCCCCATCCCCACACCCCATCCTTGATAAGAGATGTTGTTCCATTCAGAAAACTTTCCTTCTTATTTTCTCAACTGTGAGCCTGGCCCAGTGGTATTTGTTGGGAGTAATACTCGGAGCTTTGTCACTGATCCCTTCCATCATGTAAATCTAGAGACAGCAAAGGAGACGGTTGACCCTGTGCTACCTCTGTCTGCTGTGCGCTTCGTTCTTTCCTTCTCGTTCTCCTTCCTTTTCCCTTGCCAGTGTTTAACCACTGTGTTGGATTTTCTTCCTCTTTTCTTCCTCCCCCCTTATGCTGTATCTATAGCATGCATCAAGATTTGCAAACAGGTAACTTAAAGAAATAACACTAACCATTCCACTAGGGACTGACAAACTGCTCAGGAAAAGCCCTGCCTAAGAGGGGGCAGCCACTGCCTGGCATCATCAGAGTTGCTGAGAGGCCCAGTGTGGGGCATGGGCCCATGTGGTTGTATCTTTCAGATTTTCCAGAGAAGCTAGACATCTCTTGATTTTAAAATGTTGACTCAACAGCTTTAAAACATGGTACAGCCTTAGAGCAACAAGAAGTCTGCAGCCCAGATTTG